CTAGGCTATCATATGAGACTATTGGATAAACAAAGGGAATTTCGCTCTCAAGCACATTCTCTGCTCTTTCATTCCCCAATGTTAACACCAAGTGATCCCTCATGGATACTTTCTCTTGAGCTAGGATTCAAATCCTAAACATTCCACCTTCTAGATTGAGATCTCAGCAACGGAACCAAAAATGCAACCTCCGGGCTGACTCTCACTCAAATTTACCTCATATGGCTTTCCGGTAGCTCATCATGATTCTAAAAGACTAAGATTCCGCATCATACTCATAACCTAAACACCCTCTCACACAATCTCTCAAGGTATCACTCCAACTCATACACTCATCGACACTCCAAGGTACTGAAAATTTGTCACTCTTTCATATATGAAACAAGTCTCTACATATGAACTCTCCAAACTTGTTTGAGAGTCTCTTCCCTACCTCTTTATATATATATTATTTGAGAATTTATTATAGTAACAAATGGTAATTCCTTTCTAACCTACTTTTACAAAGATAAACCATAGTAAGGTTTACTAGTTATCAGTATGTGGCAACATGCCATTGGCCTCCTAAACCTTTTAGATGTTTACTAATCCCTAGATTGAGGTGGCGACATGCCATTTGTGCATTTCCAACTTCTAGAACTCTCACTTTCCACTAAGTCAACATTAGACTTAGTCTAACCAATGGATTACTCTTTACTTTAGTCAAACCAATCAAAACTAAACATGAAGTTTAAAAGTATTTTCTCTTGGAATCTAGACTTTTGTACAAGACAAAATAGAAGTGCTCACTCAAATCTTCTAGAACTTTTCTAGTTATTCCACCAAGTATAGATATTATAGCTAATCTAGCTAGACTTAGTCATAACTAGCTAGATTCAGTCATAACTATCCTAACCATGATTAACTCATTGACTAATTCTAGTTTTATTTCACACATGTATTATCCGGTCTTACAGCCCAGAGGTTGCAAATCGAGACACTCAAATGGTTGAAGCGGCGGGACCTAAAGCATTGAGTGACGGAGATGATGGCTTGTAGTGGACAACGTCAGCTAGCTAGGAAGTTGTACTTGTTTCTCTCCGATCTGGAGGAGGCAAAGGAAAACTTAGAGTTGGAGATATTAACGATTTTGCGTAGGTTAGGATTCTATAGGAGTTTAATGTGTGTGATAACTACCGGATCGGCTGGCGTCGCGCCGGTTGAAAGCTCGCATTATAGCGAGTGATTTCTCGGAGTGTAAATTAGGAATAAAGAGTCCAAAAACTCTACCTTCGAGGGGATTTTCAGTAGTTAGTTTCTCGGTTTTCAATCTACATTACTTCACGCGTTTGTGGAATTGAGTGTGTTTGTCACTGTGCGCAAGTTACTTCGGTTTGTCAAAGATACCGCATCCGAAGTAGAGGGTCCAATTCGGATGTTTTGAGTAGTGTATGGCTAGTTCATGATTTAAGCAAATCTGTCAATTGGAAGCTCGGTGCAGCTATCTAAGTGTATACTTCGGAAATTTTTCCCACTGAATACCAAGAGTAGAGTCGCGATTGACCTCTCTATACCTTGATTGGATGAAATTCAGGAATTGAGTGTGAATTTATGCTGCAATGTACTGATTTCGGACTTAGCAATTGCAGTACTTCTTGAAGTGGCATACTTGTGAAAAGTCAAACTCTTCAATAGATTGTTAATATGTGACACTTCTCTGAATTGTTTTTGTACTCGTGGTATTGGATCTATACCATTATGCTCCATTTCGGTAACTATCTATCTAGACAAATTTAAAATAAATGAAAAATAGAATTTTTTTATTTGTTATCTTCATTATTATATATATTTGTTAATTTGCGACAAAAAAATTAAATAATTACAGAAGAATGATAAATCAAATCTAAAATTTGTATTAAGACTTTAATACAAAAAATTTTAATCTAAAAATTCATGAAATATAAATTGGACAACAAACTGATTTATCATAAAAAATAAAATAATTTAAAAAGACAAATGTGTATTTTTCTAAAATAATCCTTTTTTGCAAATTAAAAGGAAATTTTTACTACTATAAAAAATAGGGTTCATTCATTTTTGGTTAACAATGTCAAATTAAAAAATACAATTAAATACAAAAGTCAAATTAATATACAAATGAATTTCAAAGTTTCAAATATGATGAAAAATTTCAATAATATTATAAATTTCAAAAATTATAAATTATTAAAATATAAAAATTTTAATAATATTCAAAATAAGTATCACAAATGAAAAATTTTCAAAAATAAAGCTTTTTTGAAGAATTCATTAAAAAGTATTATACATTGAAATAGAAAAACAAAGGGTCTAGCTTATAAAAGAAGAGTTCCAAAAAAATATAAAATTTTTATATAATCTTCTTCAAAATTTGATTTTAAATTTTTGATTTGGATCATTTTGAAATTTCCAATATAACATAAATCAAATTGAATTGAATTTTCTACCACCAATTTATTGCTGTATTTTAATTTTAATATAACGCAAAAAATTACAAAATTAGATATATGTTTTAATTTCTATAACTATTACAATTAGTAAATATCTTCATAATTTTTATATTTAATTTATAAATTAATGATGAAGAGAAATTCAGAATTGAAAAATATTTATAGAGACATTGAATCTATACTTTAAATAAAATAATTAATATATATATATTCAAGTGTATGTATGATATATTATTTTTCCTTTAAAAAGCAATTCATGATCAAAATCATGTGCATATTTTAAATAATTTGAAATATGCCTATAATTATCTATATGAGAAGTATTATCATATTTTTGATTCAAAAATGTGTTGTATTCTACAAAAACACTTTAGATTTGTATGGAGCTTAAGTATTGAAATAATAGATTGCGTTGTTGTCAGATATATTGATGCACAATGATTCACAAAAAAAAATATTTTTTTTTCAAAATTCAACACAAACATACTCGATTGATCTCATTAAATCTAAATCCTTGAAATACAACAATAAAATTCATGTATTCCAATAATTTGAAAAATCAGATTGGGAATTATTTCTGTTAGGTTCGTACTAAATTATCATAAATTTGACATGTCTTGCATATGTCATGAAAAGTTATCATTTTGTGAAAACAACATATGAAAAGTATGTTATTTTTTAACATATACTTTAGTAACATTATGTATCAGGTTATGTAATTACATGATGTGATATTTTTATTTATCAATCTTATACAAAGACTGTAAACTGATCACTATATTTCCTTAAATACCATGCTGAAATTACTATTTTTTGTAAATTTCTTATATTTACATAGCATTTCTCGTAAATTTTGATTGATGTTTTTCTCAATAGAAATCCAACATAAATATTAAATTTTTATCAGTTTGTAAAATTAATTCGTTTCGTTTTTAGTTTGACAATTCAATAATAATTTTGTAGAAATATATAATTTTGAAAGAATGATTTCTATAAACAATTTTTTTACTCTTTTAAGGAAAAAATCTCGTTTTTAATTTAAAATATAATTTTTAATCTTAAAAGCATTCAATAATATCACATTGAATTCAAATTTTTTGTTTGTTTTCTACATTCCAGCATAATAATTTATCATCTAAAGCACTTTACTTTGAACATTTAAATCTAGAGGCTTCCCTGTATTTATATTTTTTGATTGATTTGAATATATTTGGATATTTTGTTTTTCATAGAAAAGAATAAAATATGAAAAATTTGAGTTTTTAAAACATATCTACCTAAAATTCAGGTTATTCTTATTTTGTAGAGTGAATTACAAGACTTTTGTTTGCTTGAAACTTAGAAATTAGTTTCATTATTTCTTAACACTTGGCAATATTTGAAGAATGAACACATTTATTTTGTATTTTAAAAGGTTTGTATCAATACCTGTCAAGTTTAATATTACTTTTGTGATCATTCAAAATTAGGAGGTTCTATAATATTTCTATGTTAAAATCAGTTAATTACTTTACTATAATCATATTTTTTGATATTCTAAATCAACAAATCAATTCACATTCAAATTTATCAACATATGTGATTTTAGAATGAAATAATTGGAAAAGTTTGACTGTAGTATAGAAGCTTTAACTTGAGGTATGATTGCATTTACCCGCAGCTTATGCAGAGCAAATAAACGCTGGAGTAGAGATTACAAATTGAAAACAAATTGAATGATAGGTTTTGGAAATAATTGGCATTTACTTGTTAAGATTTGTATGACCTAACCATAGGATTAAGTATTGACTTGAGAAAAAGAAAACTACATTCATAGATGTTTGAAAGTAGTGTATAATTTAATAATTGCAACAAATTAGACATAGATATGTAATAGTTGGTGCGTCATATTCTTTTAGGTCTAAAGATATTATTTGGTTGTGTTTGATATTAATTGATTCGATATTGGACATGTGTTTAATCTAGTGGTCATTAGTTTCATGATGTTGTCATTTCTTACATCAAGTTGAGGATGTTGAATCTGTCCACAAAATCACATGAGATGTGTACGACAAATCTGCTTATATAGGGTTGGCAGGTATGTTAAGAAAATATATCTTCGAGTAGATGTGATTATTGCAACAAATGAAAGGGATCTCAAATGTTTCTGCATAAAATTCCGCTTCTCAGTTCTATTACCTCAACGAGGACAGTACATTGTGATGCTCGAGAATTTTATCAGTTTGATGTCGCCTTATTTAATCAGAAATATAACAGATGGTGTAATTGTACAGAGAATATTGATTGTGGACAATTCTTTACTTGTTCATTTGTAGGATCCCAAGCAATTAAAAAATAAAATGAGTGGCAGAGATAGGAGGCAGATATTCTAGACTAGATTCATACGCAAGAGATTTCACGAGTCATCTTCTTGGACTCTGTAGTCTAATAGTATATTCAAGAATAAAGAGAGTGAATATCCTGGATTCTCCTCGGCAAAATTAGGTTGAACAGAAACCCACAGTGCCATCAGTAATCTATACAAGACTGGTGTTTATTGTGGATTACACTGCAAAGTAAAACACCGTCTTTTGAGTTGGAATGCTGAGTGAGGTTTTCAATCATGAGCAATATCAACAGGAAACCCTAAGCTGGATGCTTAATTTACAAAACATCCACACGAAACCCTAAATTGTACATTTCCTGCTAGAGGTGCTTTCTGTCGAAGATTTGCGTGGCAAGTGGGAATGGTGAAACGGAGCCCAAGTTGCTCAAGATTGACGGGTTTTTGGCTGAAAGATCGTGGGTGGAAGGAGGAAGTGGGAGGCTGCTGTCTTCCACTGATGGGTCGTAAAGGGATGCCGGATGCCTTGCGCAGCTCGTAAGCTCGTCAATGCTCGTGTAGGAATCGAGTGCTCCCGTCTGCCACTGTCTGCTGCCTAGCGGTATGTTTATCTACTGTTCAGTAGGTGGGGGGCAGGGGGTTTAAGATCTTATGATCTTAAACCAAGTGTGTATGATGGAATAACGTCTGTTTAAGAACTTGAGGTCTTTGTATTGAACATATAGTGTAGAGCTGCGTTGAATGGTTGGAAACGCGTCATGAATTTGTTGTTTCTGTTCTTCTGTCTCAGGCTGGTTCGCGAAGATGGTGTGGTTTCAGTGTGATGACTGTGGTGAGAACCTGAAGAAGCCTAAGTTGGCGAGTCACTTCAATAGATGCTCGGCGCACAAGGTGTGAGGAGCTGCCGGTGTGACCCTTTTTTTGTTTTCCACTGAAAGTGTAGAATTTTTACTGATCTCTGTGGTTAATTTCGATTGAAATCAACGGGCACTTAGAAGGGAGTTCTAGGTTATCGTATTGTGGAGTCGAAATGTGTCAGTATTCCCTTCAGCAGTGAAAGGAATTTTACGTTTGCAGTACATTTCTACGTGGCGGAGGCGTTCCCTATATGACGATGCCAATCTTGAACAATGCAGCTGTCTTGTATCGATTGTGGAGTGGTGTTTGATCAACACAGCGTGCAGGCCCATACATCGTGTGTCTCCGAAGTGGTACGTACACTCGCTCTTTACAGGCTGTCCCAGCTCGCCACGTCGGAAAGTGGACGCTGTCTTCATCTATACTCTTACCCCCCTTCCTCAGAACGCGTTTGAGGTTTTTAAAGTCAAAGGGCTGTCAACCGCCTTTAGTCTCATCTCTCTTCCCAGTGCGGAGGGCTCTTTGTAGTCTCTCCTAACGGCGGAAGAAGGCCGTCTTCATGAAGCCTCGCCTAACGGCTGTACACATTTGACAGGAGAAATATGGGCCCAAAGGCTTAAATAAAGCAGCGAATCCAGCCGCCACGAACCCGAAGAATGGCAAGGCGCAGAGTGGACCCGAAGTAGACCTGAGCAGAGGTCTATCGCAGCGCCCGCCTTGGATGTGCAGGTATGCCTCTTAATGTGCAACTACCGTTCACTCTGTACCCTCCCCTGAATGCAACAATGAACGAATCGTCAGGGTGAGATCCTGCCGCCTGGAACCTACGACTTGCCCCGAAATCCCGCGCGGATAAAATCACGTCCACACTGCCGGGTTTTGGTTTACCCAGGTGCCCATTGTGCGCGAAGAACTGGTTGGAATAGAATAACAAAGATACGTTCTCCCCCTTCTAGTCCAATGAGAATTTCAGAGACTTTATCCATCCTTTTTTTCACATAGAATAGCGTGCAGGTATGCCGCAACAATAATATTCATCGCATGGATGTTGTGGGGTGTTTTAGGTTCTTAGCAGTGAATCACAAACGATGTTCCTGGTTTTGGGAGTCAAGGGACTAATGAGGTTTCCGATTACTGTTCAGCTGAAGTTTGATATAGTACCCCTGGCTTAAAATTCTCACATGAATGTCCACGAAGATTTCCGTGATGTTTCAAGCACGGTGCTTTCTCCGTCTCCTTCACTGCTCTACGCCAAGAAGGTGAATTGGGTGATGGGGACGTAAACTGAAGCCCTCTATGCGTTTCCTTTTCTTGCCCCGATCAGATTTGGAAGCTTTTCCCATATGCTTTTGCACTACATCGACGGCATAGATCAATTTATGGGACTCTTGAAGAGAATTGGCTTTTTCCTTGTCATTCACTCTGTTTCTGGTTCTATACATGGCTACTGATAATAATTTTCAAAGCCATTTTCCTGTAATGTGATTGATTGTTGGTTAGCTGAATTCAGTTTTGCCTCGTCGAAGACTGTTCAGGCTGATTGCTACCACAGTAGCCGTCATGTGCATGTGCTGTTCAAACGAGAGCATACATAAATCTGGGACCCTTGAAGAGAATTGGCCTGTTTTTGCCTTCCACTCTGTTTCTAGTTCCGGACAGGATTTTGTTAGTGATTTCCCTTCCAAATTAAGACCAGAAGTAGTAGTGCCGTATCCGGCTTCCTTAGGACTGTCAAGCTGATTACTGTCACAGTAGCTGTTGTGTGTGTCTTGCTCAAACCAGGCCGAGTTAACTTTGGCACCGTTGAAAGAAAATTGGGTCCACTTTGCCTGACAGTATCTTTAAATTCCCGTAGTTTTTTTGCAATCTACAATTTTCACTAGAGAGTCCTACTCAGTTGCCTTGTGCTCCATTGCCTCAGTGAAGGATGTAATGCCTTTTTGCTGTTATCTGCGGCCATAAGTAAGCACACAAATACTTGAGAAAGAAATACGTTATGGTCCAGAGGGATGTGAATCCGGACCCAGGAAGACAGGTGACCTACGTTGCCTCAAGTCAGTTTTTGAGTTCTACTTATGTTCCTGCAAACACACGGCTCACCCAGAACACATCAAATTCCAGATGTAAATTGATGAACCAATTCATTTGCAGGCTACTAGAAAAAGCACAGGATTATAGTCGCTGGAATGATATTACCCTAGTCCTAGACTGCACGTTTCATGGCTGTGATTTCAATTCCATCTAATTGCTAAAAATTTGTTTCAGTCCCGTGGCCAGTGTCTATCTACATCCTATATCGTAGCGTCATCTCTTGTGAGGACTCAAATCGCTAAGTGGTGTGTCGGGTATCTCAAGAAACCCATTCAAACTATGGTTTAGGCATTTTTTTTCTCAGAGTAAATCTACGTCATTTGTTGTTAGTACGAATGCACATTATAAGTCCAAACTCTGTAAGACATCTTGATGTTTTCCAGTACACGTCTGCTTCAGAGATCACGACTGGTCTATTGGCACCCTTTCTTACTGACTGGCGACACCAAAACCGATCTTAACAGCATTTGTTTTGAATGAATCTACGCTCTACTTTACTTGCGATCTTGTCAGAGATGATGCCTTCTCTTGAAAACTCCTGACCGTTTCAGCTTCTGACTTCGCAGTCTTTGTAACGTTAAAGCCACGAGTAGGGAGGCGTTGGATCTACACGCGCAGGGGAAGAAGCATCGTTCTAGATCCAAAGCTGCAGCAGCCAAGGACACGGCATCGGTCGATGCCAAGAATGTTAAGGTAGATACAATGGAGGTGGATAACAACTCTGCCGCAGTGGGGAAAGGTGTTGTTGAGGTTCCTCATGTTGATACGTCTAGTCAGTTACCCGAGAAGAAAAGGAAGAATGAGCAACTCGATGGAGCTGGTGAAAATGAAGGGGAGTTGAAGGCCACGAGGAGAGACAAGAAAGCGAAGAAGGAATCCCCTACATCTGATGTGGATGACAAAGATCAGGAAAATGTGGCGGACTCAACATGTAAGAAGAGGAAGCACGTGGAGGAGGAGCAGGAGACAACAACTGGACACGAGCTGAAAGGTAACGGGAAGAAGAGCAAGAAGAAGGAAAAGTTGTCCGAGTCTGGAGAAAATGGGCACACTTCTGAAAAGAATCAAGTAGCTGCCGATGCCAGTCCCACCGATCAGGAGGAGAGGAAGAAGGACAAGAAGGCCAAGAAGGGCAAGAGGCTGCAGGAAGAAGCTCTGAACGGGAACTGCTCTCCGCCAGTGGCCGATGAAGACACCAACGAGGTAGTAGCGATGAACGGGACTCTATCCGTCCACGACCCAGAATCGAGAGGAGATTCTTCTGTTTCTCCTGTAAACGGCAAAAAGGTGAAGAAAGGAAAGGGGGCTAGTCTAACAGAGGATCTTGTAACTCCTGAACCTGTGAAAAGTTCACAGGAAGACAAATCCAAGAGTGGAAGAAAAGAAAAGCACAAGAAGTCTGAAAGCAAGGCCGGTTCCAAAGATGAAACACCTAGAAAAGAAAAGGAGAAGGAAAGTATCGTTCATGAGGTTTCATTTCGCGAGTGGCTGAGAGAGGACGACAACGGTGGCAATGGAGGTACCCCGACACATCCTCCCATGGTTGATAAGAGTGGAGAAGAAACCCCCACGGAACCGGCAGACGTAGACAACGAGCACACGCAAGCTGTGTCTAAAGTGGTCAAGTGGAAGAAAATCATCAGTGAAGCTCTTTTGAAGGTATGGACAGTAAATGGTTTTTTGCCCTTTCTCTTACACAAGCTTTGTCATCCCACCTCCGCTTAGTTTTGTATCATATTGTGGAGCTCCTTGCAACGAATGGTCCCGTACACGATCTTTGTGCGGAAGAATCGCACAAGCATGTAGCTTCGTGAGGTTATTTCTTCCAGCAACTATTCAAGTCAATTTAATATTCATCATGTGTCGCGTACTTGCAGTCTCCAGATGGGAGGATGAAGAAGAAGGATCTTAGTAAGGCTATACTCGCCTTAGCATTGAAGGCCGCCGAGTCCTCGACCATCCCACTGGATAAGATTATCCTGAAGGAAGAGCTCATGAGACAGGTACTTGATTGTGATGTACAGTTGTGAGCATGACGTCGGTTCAATTTCAGTTATCCTTTGTATCACTTGAACCTCTGTCCAATTTCGAAATCTCAATTGATTTGTCTATGTTGCAGATCAATCGTAACCCAAAGTTCGTATTGGATGGCGAGCACGTCATGCTGGCCCCGAGAGCAAAATGAGGGGCCCTTTTCAATTTTGGTAAAATATGACAGTTTAGTTTAGTCACGAAGTAGGTTATATTGAGTGTATCACGAGTTTGGTTTCACAAGCTCTAGGCTACGATTTGGAATGATAAAACTCCAGTTTTCATGTCATGATGATCTATTGTCACCGTTTTTCATCGCTCAAGTTGGCTTCTCTATTCCACGACTCTTGTTCAAGCAGTTTTTTGCTCTGACTCTCTTCCCATGTTATGCTTCAAGACCATGTATGAGGTGAATATACATGCCACTACTGTTTACAAAGAGCTTCTCCCAATCTGAAATGTGACGTTGATTGCTCATTACGTCAGCTGTAAAGATTAGTGGAGATTAGCTCAGAGAGTGGAATATTTATACAAATAAGAAGCGTGGAACCGCGGCCAAAAACTCCGCGAGACTCAATAGTGTCTATGCGGACGGCGTGGAGGACAAGTGGTTGATGTCTCGGTCATCAAACAAGTAGCCGATCATTTACCATAGACATCTACGTGGAAGTAACAGAACAGCGAATACTTGCCGAGGACAATGGGCAGGAATTTTCACGAAGATAATGATGAATGATATGGACAGTACTGGGCTGATCGACGTGCCTACAGAAGCGTTCGGCATACTTAACATGACTAGTCCGGTATTAAAGTAACAGCTCTGCATACTTCACATGATTATAGTCCTGAATTGAAGTAACAGCACGGGGAATACTTGCCGAGGCCAGTTCGCAGAAGTTATAATGGAGAGGATGATGAATGACATATGGACAGTTCTAGGCAGATTCACGTGCCCTGTAGAAGCGCTCCGCATACTTGACAGGTTTATAGTCCTGAAAAAAAGTAACAGAACAGGGAATACTTGCCTGGGGCAACTTGCAGGAGTTTTCATGGTGAGAATGACGAATGATATATGGACATTATTGGGCGGATTGACGTGCCCAGAAGAAGAGCTCCGCATACTTGACAGGATTATAGTCCTGGAGTAAAGTAAAAGAACAGGGAATACTTGCTGGGGCAATTTGCAGGAATTTTCATGGAGAGAATGATGAATGACATATGGACAGCACTGGACCGATTGACATGCCCTACACAAGAGCTCCGCATACATTGCAGGATTACAGTCCTGAATTGATGGGCAAGTTGCTGATACGATGAAAATTTTGCACATGATGAGTGGATAACCGCGTACTTAGAGTCACGAAAAAACCAGTGTTCTTCCTGTCAATAAAGTGTCTAGATTAATTAGAGGATTGGAGACTGGACGCTGTTCAATTTGGTTGCAAAAATGGTGTCAAAGCGAGCACAGTATGTACGGCAAAACAGATTTTATGGGAGTAACATCTACTTCGGATATAAAATAACGAAACTGAACGAAAGCTAATTAAAAATGACTCTGTAAAACTCTGCTAAATCGTGAATTACAGTTGGACTGCGAGGCATTGGCCACCATGCTGTTCATTGTGTGCAGAATTTCAGTGTTTCATAAGTCACGCCGGCTAGAAACTTCTCGATGGAACAAATACGTTCATACTTGGTTTCTGAAGCGGCAATAAAAAGGAAAACTGAAAACACAGGGCTGAAGAAATCCTGCCCGGAGGCAAGGGAAGGAGGATAAGTCCCTCTTGATAGAAGAAAATCTTGCCCTGAACAGCTCGAGATCTCGTCAGAATATATACGAACGTGACAGCTGAGGACGCATTATTGGTGCAAATAGAGGTTCAGGTAGATGTAAGAACTCGATCTAAAAGCCTCAAACCAGAATCATCACGATCATTCAGTCTGCCAGACACGCCACAACTGCCCTAGCTCGATAGCAAAAAGCGGTATCAAGGAAGAACTTCGAAAATGACAATATACAGACTAAAAGTAGAAAACTTATAATAGTCATAAGAAAGTGTGCCAGCTGCACTAAAGTAGCTCTAGTCACCATCCTGATTCTGCACTCACTCTCAATACTCAAATTGTACAACACCACATCTTAAGGTGATGTCTAGATTCCATTCCGACGCATCGAAGTATGAAGAAACAGACAAAATTCTCTAAGTCTAGAAGCAAGCAGGTCAAAAACAACTTATTTCTCAGAAAAAAAATCTTGAAGATCTCGATATAGAAACAATCACAAATCTCTTCTTCAAGTTAGGACGGTGGTCTCAAGCCTGGTACCAACCCCAAGACTGACTCTAAACTGAAAAGTTCAGATGGCTACATGATCACAAGTCAAATGCCAGAGAGGATTCTAAAAACGCACGAGATCCTAACCTGGTAGTAGCATCGGATCATAAAGATCACACCGTGTATCTGTCTTGTATCGAGTGATTCATGAGCTATTACATAGACACGGCCCGGTGATCCACATCGCTGGAAGAAAGGAAATGAGCTAGTGTGGCGACTAGAGTGTAGTAAGTCCAATCAGCACGGGCTCACAAAACTCAAACATAACAGCATTGAGCAAAAAATCTCAAAAGTCGAAATTACAGCGAAGCACTTAGAAAGAGAAATTAGATTTTATATCTATGAGTAGACTGGATACTGATACGACAGACAGTATCGTGATGTAGGCGCCGTTTGCTGTTGCATCTGATTCCTGCTACCAACCCTAGGACCGAGAACCCCAAAGGACTTCCACGGGATATGCCGAGTGTGTAAGGAAGTCCCAAATAAGAGCAAAATCTAGACCTTCCCTAGGCCAATCTCCGTCGAAGGATTCTCGAGAAATTAAACTGACACGGCTCGGAACAGATTGCGACCGTGTCGATTGTCCACACGGGTCTGCAGCATTGGTGAGGGAATTATTAACCTAAAGGTGAGGAGGGGGAAATCTTGTCACGTGGGAGAGAAGATGGGGACGAAGCAGGAGCTGGAGTCGGAGTTGTGCCAGGGGATCGAGAGCAAGTACTCTGAAAGGCCGCGATGTGCTCCCGGCATTTCTCAGCCTGACCTTGATTCTCTTCCAAGCACCTCTTCAGCACCTCCACATCGCACGGACTCATTTCCTTCATGGCGTGCCGATCGCCGAGTTTGCTTGCCACGACTCGGAATCTAGCACTCCTTGTCTGCGACTCCGTCGTACTATATCCCACGGTCGATTCCGCGCCTGGCCAGTCGAGCATTTCTGTCACGGCATAAGTTGAAACATCGCCCCTCTTTTCTTTCGAGAACTTTGTCGCCTTCCCTGCAAAAGGAGCTTTTCTGGAAGGTGGCCTTTCCTTTTCTTTCCGAAATCCAGTACGCCGAAAGGCCGTGTGTCAGACGAAGTCCCTCGGCCTACGACTTTAGCCGATTCTGTCCGATCGTGTCCGCATACAGGCTAGATCGTCCACATGGGGCAAGTGCCGGTGACGAGAGTCTGACCTTCATGAAGTGAGCTCACGGTGGGCCGCGCGGGTGGGGCCCGCAGACACCTCGGTGCCCCTGAAGGTCTTTTACCGCAGGGCCGAAGCGCCCCAGCCCCGCTCCGCAACACTCCGATGTACATTGCATCGGTACGCTTCCGCCTGCCAAGGACATCGGCATCGGAGAAGATGACAGGGAATCGCATTACGCTTCGAGCCTTTCCATCTGAAAAGAGAAAAGCACTAATCAGAGCAGCACACCAAGAGCATTCGATCGACGAGCAGTGATGCAGAGTCCACGTGGTGGCCTTCCGCTCTTGTTTATCATTTTGCGCGCCCGTCTCATGCGGTTTGTTGGGGCACGGGACTTTTCCGTGCTTTCCAGGCCCTGACCGGCTGCATTGCCCTGCGGTGCAGGCCACCGGGCCACCCGAGCTCCGCGCATTGCTTCGACATCGAGCCGAGGTTGCACGTTCGTCCCTACAAATTCGTCATCCCATCGCTCAGTCTCTCGGCTATCGTGTCCTGCGCTGCGCTCAAATGCTCTCGGCTCAGCAAGCAGCGCCCGCTCTTGACTCGCATGACCTCCTCTTCGCGCGCGATTTTTGAACGGCCACAGCGCGGAAGGAGAACTCCACGTCCGTCGTCTGATCGACTCCGCATCCGTTTCATGGCGGTTCTCGTCGACGCTACCGAGTGCAGTGACTGCGTCAAGCGACCAAAGTTACGTCGTGGATGTGGTTTGTTTAAAAGATCGCGTGATTGTTTACTCCTGTGGCAGTTTATCAATTGTTTTCTAGGTTGTCGTTCATATAACTATATATATTTATAATATTATTTAAATTTAGTTTGATGTTTAAATTATCAATGTAAATTTCGTGTACGTTGATGAATATTTTTCAGGATAAATTATGATTTATTATATAATTCAAAATTACGTAAAAAATTTGTTAAAAATTTTATTATTTTGATTTTGATATCTATTTTTTGAAAAATTTATTTTCTTAGTTCTTTTAAGATTATCAAAAAAATTTGATAATAATGATGTCATGTGTTGTTTGTTCTAAATTACGATCTGGATTTTTTTGAAAAATTTTATTGTAAATTTGGAACAAATAACACGGGGCATTATAAATTATTAATCTTTTTTGGAATATTTTTAGATAAAGAAAATTATATTTTTTTAATACATATCAAAATCAAAACTTTAGAAAATTATACAAATTTTGATGTATTATGGAAATTTTGATTTTAATATCTATTAGATTCAAAAAATACTATTCTAAAATTGAAAATCTATATGATACATTTTTGGACACTACATAAGAAAATTTGGCAAATGAAAATCACAATCCTAACCCAAGGAGTATTGTGCATGATGACATACTTGAATATATACGAGGGAGTGCCCAAGGGATTAAATCTCATAGTGATAATAGAGTAGATCTGAAGTAGTGAAATGTTTTGCTTGGGGAGTTTCTCGGGAGGTCCACTATATTCAATGGCCCTATGGCCGTGACTTTCACCATTCTTGGATTTGCTCTCAAGTATGAGTTCACGGTCTTCGGCCAGTGCAAAATCTCATCATTCCATACTGGGGAATAGATTTTTGCTGCATCTGAATCTGAGAAAACTGAGATTTTGCATGCAACTACATGGTAACGTCTTTCGCACAGATATTGCTCAGCTCCTTCCTTCTATTAGCAACTTGAGCGAGAGTTTCAGCTCCTGAAAGTTTTAAAACTTTCATCATCAAATGAATGACTTCAGGTTAAAGTCATCAGATTGAAGTTGCGTATTTGCTGATGGTCTGCTCATTAAAGCTGCACGATGTAAGTGAAGTTGTGTGTTCTTCGTAAGAGGTAAAGTATATGTCACATACAGTGCACAGCTCTTTCCTTCTAACTGCGACCTCTATTAGAAGAGATTTCGGACCTGAAAGGTTTGCAACACGTGTAACTCTCGTCCAGTGCCGCAAAACTTTCATAACGACGTGTATGACTTCAGCTTCAAGTGATAAGATGAAGTCGTCTGTTTGCTGATTAGCTGATCGTCTCAGCTGCACGAGGAAGTGTCGCAAATCTTACATAACGACGTGTACGACTTCAGCTTCAAGTGATGAGATAAAGTTGTCTGTCCGCTGATTAGCTAATCGTCTCAGCTACAGGAGGAAGTGCCGCAAAACTTACAGAACGACGTGTATGACTTCAGCTTCAAGTGATAAGATGAAGTTGTATGTTTGCTGATTAGCTGTTCGTCTCAGCTGCACGAGGAAGTGCCGCAAAACTTACATAACGGCGTGTATGACTTCAGCTTCAAGTGATGAGAGAAAATTGTCTGTTTGCTGATTAGCTGATCGTCACAGCTGCATGCGGTAACTGCCTTACAACTTTCATAACGACGTGTATGGCTTCAGCTTCAAGTGATAAGATGAAGTTGTCTGTTTGCTGATTCGCCGATAGTCACAGCTGCACGAGGTAAATGCCTCAGAACTTTCATAACGACGTGTATGACTTCAGTTTCAAGTGAAAGATGGAGTTGTCTGTTTGCTGATTGTCGCAGCTGCACGAGGTAACTGCCTCAAAACTTTCATAACGACGTGTATGACTTCAGGTTCAAGTGATAAGATGAATTTGTCTGTTCGCTGATTAGCTGATGGTCACAGCTGCACGAGGTAAGTGAAGGAGTGTAGCTTCAAACGGGCTTGCGCCTCACTCACATACACTGCATAGGTCCTTCATTCTAGTAGCGACTACTCGGAGAAGAGATTTAGGACCTGAAAGTTCTTGCTTCACGTGTAATTCTCTTCCAGTGCTGTAAACTATATATGATCAGGTGTATCACTTCAGCTTCGAGTGATCAGATTGAAGTTGCCTCTTTGCTGATAAGCTGCTAGACACCGTCTACAGCAAAACTCTAGTCTCGACTGCGGATGGAAAATCTCATGAAGCTGCACACTGGATGAGTTCTGGATCCAGGCTGCTCGTCAAGGATGACCATCAGTTGACGATGCAGCTTCATGCTTCGCTGCACCTGTATCCAGTCTTCACATTCGCATTCCAGCATGTGCATGAAATTGTGTTGGAAGACTGCATGAGGTAAGTGAAGTAGTTCGAACTTCGTACGGGCTAACGCCTATCCTACAGACAATGCACATCTCGTTCCTTCTAGTGGCGACTTCTTGTAGGAGAGATTTAGCATTTGAAAGTTTTGCTACACGGGTAACTCTCTTCTAGTGCTGTAACATTTTCAAAATCAAATGAACGTCTTCAGCTTCAAGTGAGCAGATTGAAGTTGTCTCTTTGCTTATGAGCTGATCGTCACAGCTGCACGAGTTAAATCAAGTAGTGTATGGTACTACACGTGGGTAACTTCTACCTTACAAACACTGAATAGCTCTTTCATTCTAGTAGCAACTCTTTGTAGGAGAAATTTAGGACTTGAAAGTTTTGCTGCACGTGCAACTCTTTTCCATTACTGTATATATTTCATAGCCGTGGAGATGTCTTCGGCTGCATGTACTTTAAATTGATATTTTCTCCCGGTTGATGGGCTGATCATCACAGTTGCACGAGGTTAATTCAGTATTGTATGCTGCTACACGGGGTAACGTCTATCTGACATACACTTCACAGCTCTTTTCTTCCCGTAGCAACTTGTGGGAGCGATGTAGATCCTGAAAGTTTTACAGCAATTCCGACTTTCCTCCACTGTGGCAAATCTTACAAAGCCGTGGAGATGGTTTCAGCTTCAAGTAATCAGATTCAAGTTATCCCTTTGCTGATGAGTTGATCATCAAAGCTGCACGAGGTGAATGAAGTATTGTATGCTACTAAACGGAGTAGCGTGTATCTCACATACACTGCTCAGTTCTTTCCTTCTAGTAGCAACTCCTTGCATGATAGATTTAGGACCTGACACACTAGTATCTTTCTTGTAACATTCTTCCAGTGCTGCTAAATTTCATAATCAATAAAATGGCTTCGAAGCTTTCTCCTGATCACCAAAGCTGCACGAGGTAAATGAAGTAGTTCATGCTACTACACGGGGTAAGTCTATCTCACATACACTGCACAGCTCTTTCCTTATAGTAGCACAGCTCTAGCAGAGATTTGGGCTTTGCACGTCCAAATTCCCTCCATTGATGCAGATCTTTCATCTGCTTGCATTTGGAATTATGTTATCTCCTGGTTGATGGACTGCACGAGGATCAAGAATCAGTAACTATGGTGGCCAAAAATAGCTCTACCAGCAAGAAGATCTCTTCATCGTGGAGCTGTTGGTGACGAAATATTGCCAGCAGTAGCTCCACCTGCAAGTGGATGTTGTCGTCTCGGAGCTGTTGGTGCTGCGAATGTGATACCAGCGTATATGGTGAACAAAACGCAGCTCCTCCGGCAAGAGGATCTCGACTTCGTGGAGCTGTTTGTGATGCAGTGATTGACAGCAGTAGTTTGGTGACCAACTCTGAGCTCCAGCAGCAAGAAGATGTCTTCTTCATGGAGCTGTTGGTGATAGTAATATTGACAGCATTAGCTTTGATGACCGAGACAGTTTAGACCTTCACGCTGTACAAGTGGTTGAAATTTTAATACATTATAAACCGCTGTGAAGTGTTCCAGATCTAGAGCTCAATAGCAACAATCCACTTGCTTTTGCCTCCAGCTCCCATTCGCTGATAGCAACAAGAAATATGTGATATGACACTCTCCTCCAGTGCTCAAGAATTTTATTCTGAATCAGCCGACTGTGCTTGTCTTTGATAACCAACGGAATTAAACACGAGAGAAAGGCTGCTCACAAGCTCTCAAGAAGATCGATATTAGCTCAACATCTTGTGAGACCAATTTACTTCGGGAGCTTTGAAGGATGTCATGTCTGGCTAAAGATCAGCGAGGCTGTTTCACCGAGTCTTTCCATTCAAGTCGGCGCTAGGCATTGTTGCTCGACGTGAGAGAAAAGGGACATGGAAACTCACGACCTCGTATGAAGGTGGGAGAAAGATGCTGCAATCATGTGAGGACCACACCAGAGATCACGAGAGGAGCTTGTTCTGAAGGTTGACTATCTTTTATCATTCACTGGTCTCTTGGAGACAAGCAGGAAGGACAGAAGCAACTCCACCGCGCGACCTTCCCGGGAAAATTAGTCACGACTCGTATTCAGTGAGAGCGTAGTAGAAGAACAGAAGTGACCAATTTGAGCAAGACTGACCCTAAACAATTATATCGAAAGAAGACAAGGAAGAATTCGAAGAGGCCGAGACAAGTGGGTCGGAGTCGTGGCAAGATGAGAGAAGGAGAGCGGGAAGAGGAAGCGCGACGTGCGATAGTCTCTGCACATTTCACATTGACCGCACGTCGGCACTCGCAGAATTACTACTTGGACTTACCCGTCCTCATTCGACGTGCCCACGAAACTTCCGACAGCGTCAACATGTTATCGCTCGACTCTCCTCCAACATCAGCGATTCGCCAGCACGTTCTCGAACAAGACTACGTGGTTGAAAATGAGAACAATGAAATATTAAAGTTTCCGGAAATTTGTGCCTGCGAATTCGAAAAAAAGCAATAAACCGGAGAGAGAGGTTTATACTTTGGGCTCTTCGTACAGAAGGATCTGTGTTATGTAGTTGTACACAGCTCACGATTCTAGCCGAAAATCGGGCCAAACGACGAGATGTAGAAGGTCTTCCAATACAAAATGTGTGGAAAGTTTCATTTCTTCATTCCGCATGGAACGTGCAGTTGACAGATTGTATGTAACATACCGAGTACCGAGGGATGACTACGTCGAGAACAAATACGGAGGTATTTTACAAAAATTTTATAGATCGATAAAGGGAACCATATAATAAAAAGTGAGTCTGAAGGGTCGCCTATGGCGGCGTTAAAAAGGCGAAATCCACTTATTCGCAGGACATGCGCACGAGCAGTCGATCGCGATCAGTTGACGATTCCAATATTCCACCGGGAATGAAGTTGTTGCTCCGGGAGTTGAATTCCAGTCTTTACCAAAGTCAATGGAGACTTGGCCAAAATATGTGGCCCGTCTCTCACTGCGGGAATCGTTTCCAAAGGGAGTATCTAAACTCCGCATCATCTGAGTTGCGTGCGTGTAGGGACGACTGCGAAGCTCATCATCACGTTACCAACAGAGAAACAACAATCGTGCCTGTCATTGCTCCTTGATCGGAGGTCGGAATCGTGATTGTCTCATTGAAGCCAGAATCGCACATGTAATGCCTCACAAGAAAATGAGGTCGCTGGTCGAAAACAAGCTTGTTAAGATCTAACAGGGATCCCGAGACGACGTGCTCCCTCGATCGTTCCGGCTTCTCGTTCATCAAGTTCACGCTCAAGTCCATTGCAAGACTCAGGACGGACCGGGCTCATCGGGGCGCTGCTGCTTCAGTCGCAACTGGTGAGGCTCGTCCATCCCTGTCCACGAGGCCAGATTTCAGGACTCGAACAATTTCATCAGGAGCACGGATCTGTCGCTCACGAGAATGTCTTGTTCGATTATGATCTGTGCGCTGGAAGTGGACAGATTGCCCCTTCTCACGGGCAATGCGAGAAGAAGGAGAGGCCTCTGAATCTGAGCTCTCACTTTCATGGAGTTTGCACACGACATCGCCTTGGATCATTATTCTTTTCGACAGCTTGTGACAGCTTCTGACCTAGGGAAGAAACCTGGGTCATAGCTTACAAATCTGGTGTAGTATGTGAGAGGTTTCACGATCTCGATCTCAAGCAGATGTTTCAAATCACCATTATTCCATGAACTTCATGATTCCCTACCATTCTAAAGCTTGTCCAACATTAAGAACTGCGTCCCTTGTTCACCCAGACGTCTGAGTACTGAGTCAACCGAAGGTGAGGGTGACAACGGTGATGACATCGAGGCCATAAAAGGTCGGTCGACGCGATCTACAACGTTCTAGACGAGCAAGCGTAGTGGCAGCTGAGGCGAGGGTCATCCTACAGCTATGGGGTCCGGCAGCCCTCAAGTGTCTGGTGCAACAGGAGTTCCGACCCGCAAGCCCCAAAGATTAGCCGGAATGACAAACATGTTTCTGTACGCTGCTCTCGTGATCAGTATATGGCAGGTGTCTCTCTTCATCGGTCAGCATTACTACGCTTACTACGGTAGCCAACATGACGCTCTCACTCATTTCAATGTCACTCGCTACACACTCCATCTGGGCCAGGTGCTTCAATCTACACAGAACAGCGTTAACGAGAACTTCGATGCAGCTCAGAACGTCACCTCGGCTCTGATCAGTCGACTCGAGGCGCTGCAGTTTCAGGCCCAGACTTTGGATCATCAAGCAAAACAGAACCATCGGGAGCTGCTGAAAGCCTTGGAGGCGGTGACCATTCGACTGACGACTCTGGATGATTCAGGATCCACGCTAAAGATGAATTTGACCAAGCAAGAGGAGCGACACCAGGACTTGGCACGCAGCAGCTTGGAGCTGGCTCAGAAGCTGAAGTCCATCGAGCAGAAGCTCGAAATCTTCCAGGACGCAAATTTTCAGCTGCAGAGCAAAATCTCGTCACTGGAAAATGCCGCCCACAAAATGCATTCTCACATCTCGACCCGCCTCTCGTCCAGCGTGGAGTTCAAACCTCTGAGAGACATGAGCAAGTGGGAGAACAAGGGCGACAATGGACTCCATGGCTTCCTCTCGGACATCGTCGGACGGGGGCGCAAAGAAGGACCCCCCGAGCTCTTCTACATGCCCTCAAATACGACTCACGGAAGGTTGTTATGTTTGCAGGGCAACCACACCAGCAACGGGACGCTGAATTCCTACGCATTTGCGTATAAGGAGGGGCTTCCCGCGGATGCTGTCGTCCTTCCAGGTACCACATTAATTGCAGATACCTATTGGGACTTCAACAATCCATGGCACTCGATGTACAATCTCATCCAGTTCGTGTACTGGAAGATGAATCCGACGTGCAAGTCCGCTGAGCGACTCTTACTCTTTCACTGGTCTGAGCTGAGGACGGACCTTGGCTACTGGATCAAGAATGTGTTTGAAGCTTCCAACCTTCCCACCGAGCCGGAGAGGTTGAACTACGACGGGCGCCCGGTGTGCTTCGAGAATGCGGTGGTCAGCCGCAGCGGGATCGGAGGTGTGCCAGGATCCTTAATGAAAGACATATACGAAGAGGTTCGATGTACTGCTCGGAGGAAATGTGGAGTGACGGGCTTCAGATCCGGTCCGACGGATGAAGTCAAGGTACGGTTGACTCTCATGGTTCGCACAGGGGCTCGAGGCTTTGTCAATCTGACGGACTGGCAGAAAGTCATCGCCTCCGAGTGCCGATCCGAGAAGGGATGCAAATTCACTACCATGTTCGTCTCGAACCTCACCTTCTGTCAGCAGGTATTATTCTTCCCCGATTCTTTCTTGTACTCCTCCGATATTGACTATTTTGTTGGTCAATTTGAGCTAGACGGAAACATTTTGCCACATCTGTTCAAGTGACCGAGACGCTCCCGTTTCCTTCTTTCCCGAATCCCGACCACTCACTTCATGATTGGACTGTGTTTGTCCCGGTTCCGAACTGTTTTGTATTCCCGAGATGATCCAAACTTAGATCAGTAGTGGGGAAAAGCTGTCATCTTGGACTCCAAACAGAAGTGCTGAGCTCTGAAGAGAATCGTCTAATCCGAGCTTGTATAAAATATATTCGGGATTCGGGTTCTGGCACAATAGATCGTTAACTGGTAACTGATAACAGTACGTAAGCTTCCAAAGTCCTTATTACCGATGCACAAAATTTCATCCTAACTCAATCACCCTCAGGGCCGCATGGAGTCTTTCACCTCTCGGTAGGCAGGATATAGTATCCTGAGTTTTTAGTCAAGTAGTTTCAACGAGATATGATTCTTCATGCACCAGAGTTATCTGTGTTACAACGTCGTGAAGAAAGTACGTGAAAAGTGAGTTCTCACTAACCTGCCATAGCCTGTACCTGTGTGTACAAGCTAGAGGGATTAAAGCTACTTCTATGTCATTTCTTGTCGAATGTGCTGGTCTGAGTCGCGACATAGGCGATGATCAAATCTTTAAGAAAGGCTAACACCAATGAAGCTCAAAACTGCATGAGCGCACAGAACACTACCTTCAGACTATGGGAGCTAGCGTTCGTATCCTTCCCTTGTACGGCTTGATGGGTCTTCCCATCGTTGTGCTATCCAATTGGACCCCTCCTGGACCTTGAGCGACTTATCGACCGATTCTAGTGTTCTGTTCCACTTTTATACGGAGGTCGCTTTTCAACAAACCTCAATTTGGCCCGACAGTGTTCGTTGGGATAGACGGCTGTGGTGCCTATGGCATCCAATGGCTGCCAACATTGACCGCACCTCAAATGATCACTCTCCTTGTTCCCCGAATCTTCACTGCTGCGTAGGAAGTTGGGCCCAATAATTCTTTCCAAGTATTTCGAAAGAGCTTGTTGACCATTACCTCTAGATTGAATCTTCCGTTTCAGTAGAGGGTAAAAGACGCATAAGGTTTGCAGCACAGGGTAACCATAGTTTCGAAGTGGGAGATCATTTGCAAGTCTGGATGTCTCTTAAATTTCTTTCCTTCATTTACAAAGCTTCTTTGTATGATATACATGTTAATGGGCAATATTGGCCCACTTGATCATAGGATGTACAATTGCTCGGTTTGATTTTATTAGCACCGAGATTATGAAGTCATAATTATACTTTTAAAACTTTTATTGTGAAGTCTATCAAAACGTTATCCTAAGAATTGAAGTAAATCTAGTTAAAGATATGAAACCAGATATTTCTTTCTAGTGAAAGATATGAAACCAGATATTTCTTTCTAGTTAAAGATATGAAACCAGATATTTCTTTCTTGGCAATGAACTAAAGAAACGTTGTGTGGTTCGGGGCATAGAGATTTCCTTTCGCTAGCATCTGGAATAAGTGGTGCTCAACCACTTATAGATGTAAAGAGAGCCTGACGAGCACAGGCAGGAGAGGTTCTGCATGGCCTGTACCGTTTTGCTTTCAGTTTCCTGTCCGAGCATCTGTGTAGATGTGTAGACTCACGCAAAACCGCAAAATAGCCACCTCAAATGAGGACAGTTCCCTAGTTTTCCTTCCATCTCAAGCTTTTTTCTCATGACACGTAAGGGTTTGTGTATGGGTGCTTATATCCTCTCTAGTCTTGATCATAGCAATTGCTGTGGTCCCTTCACTGTCCAACTTTACATAGACATCCCATTGGCAGATTTTGTGGTCCCTGCGCCGTCGACGTACGTCAAGACTTTAGATTGACAGAAATCTGGCATGCATCACAATGTCTGTGCACATGTAAAAGCCGCCATACTTGCCTCTTCTTGTCGGGACTAAGTGCCCCCAGCTAAAAAGCGTGTGTGCGATAAAGGCTGGTACATTAGATTCCGGGGTCTCGCTTGGAAGGCACAAATGTTGGATGAAGAGTTCCGTTCTGCGGAAACATACAAGGTGAAACCTCGCAACACCTCGCAACACTAGATAAGCAAGAGCTTGTAGGCCTCAGGCGGCGAAGAATTCGAGACAAAAGATTCTTGTGCCTACTTCTCCACAAGAGACATGTGAGTCAGGAGAGCTCGATCTAGGCCATCTACTCAATCTGTGTGTAGGCCAGATATTTCGACCATCGGCGGAAACTTTTCTACCGTTATTGACCACAGGCTACTGGATTCAGAGTCCAGTGTCATGAAAGCTGCGTTTGTTTGTTCTACTTTACAAGTAGAATTTTTTGACAATAGTACTAACCAATCATACTCATTTATTTATGATATCTAAGGATTCATTCTACAGTATCATACTGGCTAAGTTTGAATTTTCTGGGCCCACTTTTCTGCCTGCATTAGTTTTCGTGCTCGTGAAGAACTACAACAAGACATATTACGAGCTTCACTTCGGGATAGATATTTAGATACACTTCTCATGCAGGGTAAAGTTGAGAGAGACAGACAGACAGACAGAGAGTAAAAGTACAACAAGGATATATACGACCTTCATCAGATCTGTCGAATTTGTTTTGGAGTTTTGTTTGGCATTCTCTTTGTCTTGTAGGATTTGTCGGCTTCCGTTGATGATTTTGGTATAATGCATGTCCGATTCTAGCATGATTGTCCAGGTTTCAAGCTCAAGAGTGAGCATGGCCTAATATTCATGTCTTACGTATGCAGGTGGAGATAATGAGCAAGACAGACATTTTACTAACGGTGCACGGGGCTCAGCTGACGAACATGATTTTCATGAGCCCGGGATCTAGAATATTGGAGATGTTTCCAAGAGGTTGGGAAGAGTATGCTGGCCACGGTCAATTCATCTACTCGCATCTGGCCAATTGGGTGGGCCTTCAACACGAAGGTTACTGGAGAGATCTGAACACACCTGAGTGTCCAGCGTCGTATGGGAACGACACCAAGAGTTGCTTCTCGTTCTACAAGGATCAAGCGGTAGGGATGAATCAGACTCACATTTCAAATTGGGTGGGTGAAGTCATTGATAACTTCAATCATGTTCAGACTCAGGCAATCCTTCCAGTCAGCGAGAGAGAGGATCCTGACTTCCAATTCTCATGGGATAATTCGACGTGCGCATGTGGGTCGTAGTGAGCGACAATTGAGAACTAACTCACTAGGATCTCCAAGAAGAATGTTCCACGTCGCGCCTGTAAACAACCATGTTCACGATCAGAAGAACAGAAGACCGTCATGAAGTACTTGTTCAAACCCGTGTGGATAGATCACTGCATACGGTTGCAGCAGTAGGAAATCTTATTTGCAGCACGTAGGACGAGATTCCAAGGAGTATGATAGCCAGTGCTGCTCTCAAGAGTAGATCATAGCTAAGGCGCGGAGAGCTATCGTTCAAAAGCCATGACTACAAAGGCACATGTGATTTGACTATGGCTGGTGGAGGCTGACTCTGAAGAATTAGGTAGATTGAGGATCACACTCTTAACATTCTTTTTTAGGTAGAAATCTAGCACGACAGCCCAAAGAAGTTGTGCTTGAACACATTTATCATTCATCCTGAAAGCAGTTTGGACCTGCAATTCGTCAGACCACTGTCATATCATCCTATTTTGGCTCAAAAGGATAGTAGACAAGTCTTACTAATTACCAACCGGATCAATGGTGTAATTCATGAATCTTGTAAGCAATTTGAGATTTGAATCTCTACAATCAATGTTTCATACTGATTCCCTTCGATGGATTGTAAAATGTCAAAGTATTTTCCAATGTTTGAATTAAGTAATTATATTTGTTAATTATCTTGGGAAATTTCTGATCTGAGAGAAAGTACACGTGAACACTATATAAACTAACATGCAGATTCATGCCCATTCTATGGTCTTATTCTAAACTTTCAGAAGTTGGGTGAAGGGTGTACATCTTTCAAATATCATTTTCTCCTGAAAACCTATAATAGAGATTGTCACATATTTTGGCGTGATTCATTACCAATGACTAAGTATACATTAACGATAAAATTTTATTGCAGGAAAAAATAAATCCTAGACAAAATTCAGTTAGATCGAGACAAATTATAGCCTATATTATATTCTTAGACATATAACAATAACCATAGATAGAAATTAAGCCAAATTCCATTTACATACTTATGTTAAGATGTCAAATTAAAATGTATACTTGCATACAGTTTTTCCATCTAGTATGTCTAAGTTATTGTAACCAACATTCTGTCATGTAATATACATTTATTACATCTGAACATCATTTATTCTTCGTATGGATCTTCACACATTGTACAAGAAACGATGGACTTGATGGACTATCAAATGGACTATCAAATGGACTCCACCAGCCAATAGTCAAGATCACATGTGCCTTTGTATTCATGGCTTTTGAACGATTGCTCTCCGCGTCTTAGCTATGATCTACACTTGAGAGCAGCACCTGCTATCATAGTCCTTGGAATCTCGTACTACGTGCTGCAAATAACATTTCCTACTGCTGCAACCGTATGAAGTAATTTATCCACACGGATCAAAAATCAAAATCAAATTCGAAAATTCAAAATCAAAATCAAAAAATAAAAATCCGGAAGATTTTTTATTTTTGATTTTCATTTTAGAGATTTACTATAATGAGTTTCTACAAAGACTCATGGGAATGACAGTTTTCGCACTTCCTCGGCGTTGTTGCATCTTTGATGATTGTTGTGTAGCAAGAGACTCTTTTAGGGGTTTAACCAATTGCGACTATAGACGATGATCGACTGAAGCTCGATGTCCACATCCAATCGAGTAAATTCTACCCATCACAGTACTTTATAACTTTCTCTGGAACTGCTAGAGTTCCACTTTCAATCAAACAATCTATGTATATTTGATGAGAAATGTGAGCAATATCATGATGTGATACACAAGACAGCCTGTCATTTATTTTACACGTTACAGAAGCTTTTGCCGCAGTTTTGTGAGGATCATGTTGTACAATATAATCTTGTAGGCAACAATCTCAAGCTGTGTGTCTGAGCAAGATCCACGCCACTGTGACATGAGGATGTCCTAACGTTTTAGCGAAAAAAGATAGTAATACAGGCAAGACATGTCTTACATTCAAAATTTTGATTTTTTTTTTTCAAAGTATGTTAAAAAAGTATGTATCATGAAATAAATGAATCATATCAGATATGTCAAAACAGCTCACTAAGTGGACAATGTTGATAACTTGAGAAGTCTATAATAAACTACAAGGATTCAAATTCTATGTAAGATTGCTGCCAAATGAAGCTTTAGTTTTGCTTGATAGTATTAGTCTGGAGAGCGAAGAAAGCAGCTGACGATGTTCTCGGTTTTTTGGGCTTACTACGTGAGATGGCTGCGTATAATCTTGGTAGAAAAATAGTATTTCCATCTTCACGTGGGTGTATTGGACTCTTCTCCCACCATCCTAGAGTTCAAAGCTCAGTAGTATTCGGATCCGCACGTGTCTCTCTTGGAACGGTCTCCAGATTGCATGGAGATTCAAGACGAACTGAGCAACTACCATCACAAGAGTGGAAGAATTAAGTGAAGAATTCTCATGCAAAAAAAATGATGGGTTTCTTTGAATCTTTCCATAGAGCGTCTCTTTTGGTCATTTGTTCTTTCATTGCGGTAAATTTTGAAATTTTTCCTCACAAATAATCAATAAAATATGCCATAATATCCATCTATCCATATCATTTTTACATGTATGACAATGTATGGATTTACTTAAGCCATTACAGATAATGAAATGAATATTTTATCTGTTCACATAGTATTTGTCGAATACATGCAACATGAGCATAGTTCTTACCACGTATAACAATCATATATGATTTTAAATTTTAAAACTTATATGTTATAAACAATCAATAACATTTCGATTGTATGTCATACTTAAGATTTAGACATAAAGTTTCAATACAAGTTTTGTTTAGTAAAAAACCATATTTGATGAAACTGTACATCCTGAATTTCATGAACGGAGTTTGTACATGCAAAATCATCACTTAGAAAAATTACTTTAACGATTGAAATACTCTAAATCTAGCCTCGTCCTAAGTACAAATGGTTTTACATGTGTTTTCATTAAGTCAGAAATGAATACTATCATGTAGATATGAGTTTTTTTATTCTGTACCTTTTTTCAATTCAAACAGGTAATATTGGAAAATTTACTTAATTTCAAGTAAATGGATTTAATAAACCTTATTAATAAATAAAAATTAAGAAAATTGGTCCCAATTATTTATAAAAAAAGTATAAGAAAAAGCGATTTTGAAATTTTTTATCAGTTTGCTATAATTAGGTGTGTATTAAAAATTTTAAAATAAATAATGCTGATTGAAATATAGAAAAATGTTCTTCTATGATACATAAAAATACAAAAACTACTTTTTTTGGATATTATTTTATAATAACATTGAAAAATTTGAATCTATTTTGCCTTAGTTTTTAAGCATATTGTTGAATAGCATGTGTAACAAATGACGTAAATGTCAATTTGATGGTATATGTGTGTGACGATAGGAAGAACTTGCAACAATGTGGTAGTAGATAGCAAAAAGGTTACAATAAATGGCAAAAGTCTGACAACATATGACATTAACTACATAAATGTGCAACAAGTGTCAAATGGTGAAAAACGAATTATAATACTAAAAACTACGTAATGGGAATTTTGAAATAAAAGAATCTTCATCTTAATTTTGACCTCAAATTTTGAAAAAAGTCGTAAATATTAAAGTATTAAGAGTAATGTTAGTGTCAAACCATCTTGAAAATACTCTTGTTTCATATAATGTTTACAAAAGGCCAGGCTTAAAAATAATTATCATAAATGATATATCATGCAAGATTAATATGCAATGATGATGATTAAGATGACTAGTATTGTTTGACAAGTAAAATGATATAATCTAGTCATGAAAAAAATACGATAATCAAATTTAGTTAATTGAAAATGAAGTTTAGATTAACCAAAATAGAGATACTGATATTGTGTTGATTCGTTGTATATTAATTATAGTAGCCACATGGACAACAAGGTGATTGATAGGTAGAGATTCACATATGTTAGTTGGAAATTAGATGTTATTAAAACTTTGTGATGGTCTGCATTATGATGGTGAATGTTTATCTACTAGTTGGCTTAAAAAAATCTCTATAAGGATGTACATACTATTAATTAATAAATAAATATTTATGATTTGATTTATATATTGATTCAATTTGAAAATTAAATATCTTAATTATATATATTTTTTATTTTTTATCAATATTTTTTTTTTGAATTGATGCATTATATTTAATATTTTTGTAAGATCATACAGTGCGTTTGGAGATAAATATATATTTTTTCATATTATATGTTGTAACTCATATTAATGTATTCTAATTAGTTGTACTAGGGTTACCATGTTACTAAATAAAAGAACTTGTTCTTAGTGATACAAACTTAGGATTTCTCAGTAACTTTTTTTTGGCCATGACGTAACTTAGCAAAGGTGAACCTATACTCAACACGTAGATCTCTTTGAATGGAAGTGTCTCCGCATACCAAATGGTTTTCCATAATTGTCTGACAACAATTGGTGTTCAAATGATATGGTTGCGGTAACCAATGAAAACAACATCAACATGTTTGTTCATTTGTAGCACAAAGTACGCATGCAGTGAGGCGTGCCATGACTTTTATTTATAATTGCTAAATCGATTGATAATTTGTCTCACCATTGAATCGATTGAGAAAATTAAGGACGGGAGAGTCAAAACAGCATGACTATACACATTAGAGGTATAAACGGTGAAATCTTGCAAGAGATTACGGCGCATAAACATCTCCAATTCATGTATTTTATTGTTGTTTTGCACCCTCTGCCACATAACATGCGCCTGTATCTCCATAACCACCGCTAGCACCTCCAGAGCCAACAAGAATTTCACATAATTGGTATCGTGGGATGGAAACCCACGATACCAAATATGTGAAATTCTTGGGCTTCCATCCAATCCCTTGGCACTAAATGAGGAAGCCAAAGCTGCCTTGACATTATCTGCACTAATAAATTCCGTTCCAATGACAACGGATGCACTCACATTGACGATCAAACTTCCTGCGACTACAATAATGAGGTTGCAGCCAAGATATGGACTCCTTAAAGTTACATCCGGAAGAATGTCTAATGTAGCTACCCCGAGATTACGTCATATTTCTTCAAAGTTACAATGTCCATTTACAAAACAATACGACATCCTTCTACAAAGTTACAATTTCACATAAAAAGCCATTCTTATTTAGTGACCCAATACTCAGGAGATGTGTCTGACAAGAAAGAGACTACTCAAGCTGGAAATCTTCATCATTTACATCATACTGTAGTCCACCTTCCTTTGACTGCTATAAACCTCTAGCTGTCGTTGAACTTGTAGTGCTGAAGAGTGGATAGCCACTTAACAACTCCATTGATTTTCCAACATGACTACCAGATACTCAAGAAATAAGTGCTAGAACCAATATGAAAAGAAGTGGCTGAATATAGCCATGCAAGCAGTAAGAAGTTTCTATTTTGAAGCTCCATCTTCATAGTCAAATTAACTCAGGGCTCATTCTGTCTCATACAGTTGTTGTATACTTTGTAAGTGCAAGCTACAACTGTCCGCGACCAGATGACAACCACCACGGACAAACTTAGTAGACCTAGATGGG